CTAATTGCCAACTGATTATATATATTAAAAAAAAATTAGCGGGGCATGGTGGGCATGCCTGTAGTCCCAGCTACTCGGGAGGGCTGAGGCTGAGGCAGAGGATCACTGAGCCCAGGAGTTTGAAGTTGCTGTGAGCTAGGCTGACGCCACGGCACTCACTCTAGCCTGGGCAACAAAGCGAGACTCTGTCTCAAAAAAAAAAAAAAAAAAAAAAAGGCAAAAAACAGAGGTATGCTCTGTCCCTTTTGGCCCCTTTTTGCCGCGTGGGGAGAGACCGGGTGCTGCACAGGCTCAGGTGCAGGAGAGGCTCTGCCCAGCATTGTGACCGTGACCGTCCCCCTTCACACGCGCAGCTGGCCACGGGCCGAAGTCTTTGCTCCCTTTTAGACGTTCAGGTTGCCACCAGGGACCTTATCGTCAGGATGACGTTGTTTGGTTTTTTTTTTCCGTCTTCACACCCCCAGTCTGGCCTTGGCGGCATCTTGTTTCCTGACAACAGTGTGCCCCAGACTCACTGGGTTTCACCTGCTCCAGCAGACGCGGCCACTTCCAGGGCCCTGCTCGCCCGCAGGGGACAGGGACACGGAGACCGTTGGCGCCACCGTTTATTTCACACAAGCACTCCAAGGTAAGGGTGGGTGACACAGGGACTATCAGTGGGTGCCAGAGCACAAAAGTTTCTTCTTTTCAAAAGGCCACAAGTTTAAGTCGCTATTCCCAGCAGGCTGGTTTTGAACTCCTGACCTTGAGCAATCCGCCCGCCTCGGCCTCCTAAGAGCTAGGATTACAGGCGTGAGCCACAGCGCCCGGCCTGAGTTAACTTTTGTATATGGTGTAAGGTAAGGTTCTAACTTCAATCCTTGCATATGGATATCCAATTTCCCAATACCATTGTTGAAAAGACTGTCCTTTCCCCATTGGGTGGTCTTGGCATTCTTGTTAAAGTTACTTGATCATGCATGTGAGGGCTTATTTCTGGGCTCAGTATATTATTCTATTGGTTTATATGTCTGCTTTATGACAGTATCACGCTGTTTGATTACTGTAGCTGTGTGGTGAGTTTTGAAATCAGGAAATGCAAGACTTTCAACTTTGCTCTTCATTTTCAAGATTGTTTTAGCTATTTGGCTATAAAGATTCCATGTGAATTTTAGAATAGACTATTCTACTTCTGCAAAAAATATCATTGTGATTTGTATAGAGATTGCATTAAATCTGTAGATCACTTTGAATAGTATTGACATCTTAACAACATTAAGTCTTCCAATCCATGAACAAGGATGTCTTTACATTTATTTGGGTCTTCTTTTATATCCTTCAGCAACATTTTGTAGTTTTCAACATACAGGTCTTTTACCTCCTTGATTAAATCTATTCTTGATTATTTTATTCTTTTTATGCTATTGTAAATGGAATTGTCTTCTTAATTTCTTAATTTCCCTGTCAGATTGTTCAATGTTAGTTAGTGTACAGAAACACAACTGATTTTTGTGTGTTGATTTTGTATCTTGCAACTTTGCTAAATTTTGTGTCTATAAGGTTTTTTTTGTGTGTCTGTCTTTAAGGTTTTCTACATATAAGATCATATTGTCTCTGAACAGAGATATTTTACTTCTTTCCAATTTGGATAACTTCTATTTCGTTTTCTTGCCTAAGTGGTCTGGTTAGAACTTTAATCTCTATGTTAAATAGAGGTGGCAGAAGTAGGCATCCTTGTTTTGTTCCTGATCTTAAAGAAAAAACTTTTAATCTTTTATCATTGAGTGTGATGTTAGCTGTAGGTTTTTCATACATTGCCTATATTTTGTAGAGTTATTTTCCGTCTATTCCTATTTTTTTTTAGTATTTTTATCATGCAATGGTGTTGAATTTTCTTAAATGCATTTTCTGCATTATTTGAGATCATCACATGGTTTTTCCCTTTGTCTTGTCAATGTGGTGTATTACATTGCTTGATGTTTGTATATTGAATTATCCTTGCATTCCAGGAGTAAGTCCCAGTTGATCATTACATATAATTTTTTGATATGTTGTTGAATTCAATTTGCAAGTGTTTGCTGAGGGTTTTAGCATCAATATTCTTAGAGTTTAGATCTATAATTTCCTTTTTTTTCAATGTCTTTGTCTGCCTTTGGTATCAGTGTTATGCTGTATTTTTCTGCTGCAGAATTTCTGTTTGTTTTTTTAAATAATTTCTATATTTTTGTTGATAGTCTCATTTTGTCCATATGTGATTTTACCAACTTCATTGAGTTCTTTTTTTTTTTTTTCATTTAGTTCTTTATACAGTTCTTTTCCTTTAACTCTTTAGCCATATTTAAGACAATTATTTTAAAGTCTTTGCCTTGTAAGTCCAATGTCTATATTTCTTCGGGGATCATTTTTGGACATTTATTTTGATCCTTTTAATGAGCAATATTTTTCTGGGATTTTTATGTCTTATAATCTTCTGTTGAGAATTAAGAAAACAATCACCTCTCTCAATGTCTGCAGGCTGGTAGAGAAGAACTGTGCTTATCAGCAGGGCATGTTATGAGCTTTGATATCAGCCTGAGGAGAAGGTTTAAGTTCTGTCAACGGAAAAAAAAGCCAAACTCTGTAAAATAATTTTAAAGAGATTTATTCTGAGCCAAATTTGAGGACCATGACCTGGAGCCACTGCCAAGAGGCCTTGGGCAAGTGGACTCAATGTAACAGTTACAGTTTGGTTTTTATACATTTCAGGGAGACAGGGTTACAGGTAAAATCATAAATCAATACGTATGTGGGAGGTATACATTGGTTTGGCCCCAAAAGGTGGGACATCTCGAAGCAGGGGCTTACAGGTTATAGGTGGGTTTAAAGATTCTTTGGATTGTAATTGGTTAAAGACATGAAGCTTTGTCTAAAGGCTTAGAATGTTTTAACATGAGGAGCTGTTCTCAGAGATAAGCCACAAGACATAGATCTGTTGTGTAAATTGAGGACCTGCAGGTTAGTTGCACACCCTCAGGCCTGTTAATGGGTTACAAAGGAAGTCCCCAAGAAGGGAGGGGGCATGATGAGGCCTGTCTGCCCTCCCTCCTCATGGCAGATAATTTAATTTTAGGATATTCCTTTGGCCACGAGGGGGTCTATTCAGTCAGCCAGTGGGGGTTGAGTCTTAAAATTTTACTTTAGTTCACAATTCTTTTCTGAGCATATGTCCTGTGTAGGCCTGTGTCTGTGCTTCTTTTTTTCAATTTCCCTTAGATACTTTATTGTATTCTTCTGCTCTTACTCTCTTTTCCCAGGCATCCACAGGTCTGCAAATCCCCCTGCTGCTTTCATGTGCCATGGCACATGCCACGACGTTGTGTGACTTTTGCCAATCTGAGATCCGAGCTGTGCTGCCTTTTCCTGTCTGAACTCTGAGTCAGGCAATACTAAAACCAGTCCCTAGGACAGCTTGCAGATATATTAGAAAGTTGCAGGTAAGTTCTGCTCTGCTTCTTCTGGCCCAAGGAAGTGAACCAGGGTTGGGCTGCTCCCTCCTGACTGCACCATGTGATGAGATACTCTAGGGTAGGGTAAGCCCAAGTGAAAGCACCGTGAGGTTCTCGGCCATGTCAAATGGGGCTCTTCCTTGATTGGGCTTTCACTTGGCTCTGTAGGTCTTTGACTGGTTTCGAAGAGCTTTTATAAAATTGTTTTAGCCAGTCTCTGGTTTTTTGTTTGCTCGGCTGGTTTTTGTTTTTTGAGACAGGGTCTCACTCCATCACCCAGGCTGGAGTGCAGTAGAGACATCATAGCTCACTGCAACCTCAAACTCCTGGGCTCAAGCGATCCCCCCACTTCAGCCTTCTAATTAGCTGGGACTACAGTGCATGCCACCATGCCCAGGCAAATTTTTTATATTTTGTAAAGATGGGGTCTTGCTATGTTGCCCATGCTGGACTTGACTCCTGGCCTCTTGTGATCTTCCTGCCTTGGCCTCCAAAGTGCTGGGATTAGAAGTGTGAGCCACTGTGCCAGCCTCTGGTTGTTTTTACTGCTTCCATGGAGGAACAAGGGTCTGAAATTTCCTAGGCCACTGTCTTGCTAATGTCACGCTCCTATAGGAAGATTTTTAATTACTGTAGAAAACCACAATCTGTGTTTTTTCTCTATTCTCTCATTCAACAACAGTAATCACAGAAGACTTTTGTGACCAAATGCGGGGGTGGGGGATGGCAAGTTTTCCCCCACATAGCAAGCAAGCAGTTCTGCAGCAGATACCTGCTGGGTGTCCTCTAATTCAATTCTGACACTCCCTACTTGGTGGTAGCATCAGACTCCATGGGGTGAGGGCTCCGTCCCCAAGACTGCCCCCCCACTTCCAATGCCAATCACAAGTCCCAGGTTGTTTTGCATGTGCTGTTGACCAACCAGCTACAAATTGAGGTTTCCATGACCTCCTACTTGGGTTCAATTAATTTGCAGATATGGCTCATGGAACACAGGGAAACACTTATATTTACTGCTTTATTATAAAGGATATTACAAGAACACAGACGGAGAGATGTGTACAGGGTGAGGTGCTGGGGAAGGGGTCAGAGCCTCTGTGCCTTCCCCAGATGCACCACCCTCAGGAGCCTCCCTGCGCTCAGCTACTTGGAAGCTTCCCAAACCACATCCTTTTATAGAGACTTCATTGGATAGGCATGATCGCCAACCATGTGGAGATGTGGCTGGACGAAAAGGACGATGTCTAACACTGACAGACTGGCCGGGGAGCCAGCACGGCTGTCTGTTCAGGCGCTTCTCGGCCTCTCTGTGCAGCACTCCTTCCCTCAGGTGTGGGGAAGGACTCCCGAAATGGGGGTCTTATGACCTACATTCAAAAAGGCAGGGCAGAGATTTCCTTATGGCCAGCTCCAAAACAGAAAGATGGGGGAGTTTCCTGCCCTGAGGAGAGAAAGGAGCAGGTGAAAGGAGGCCAGGAAGTCAGGGAGAGATTCTGTTTTCCAAGGCCTGCTTTTAAGGTCTAAAGCACCTCAACATTATAACAAGGGCTAGGGTAGTTATGAACTAGGAACTGTGTACAAAAGCATAGCTAGATAAATACCATGATGTCACAATTACTAGCTCAATTTCTTACTTTTATAGCTTATTCAAGCTTATTATCTCTTCTTGAATCAGTTTTGGTCATTTGTGGCTTTCATCTAAGTTGCCTAATTTTTTGCAAAAAATAGTCTATACTATCACCTCATGATCCTAATTTTTCTAGGGTCAATATATTAGCTTCCTACTGTGCTATAACAAATGACTGTAAACTTAATGGCTTGCAACAACACAAATTTATCGCCTCACAGTTCTAAAGGTCAGAGTCTGAAATCGAAGTGCCAGCAGGCCAGCTTTCCCCCTGGGTGCTCCGGGAGCCTGCACTAGCTTGTGGAGGCCACATGTGCGTCTTCCTCCATCACCAAAGCATGTCCTTTTGCTTCAGTTCTTTCTTTCACCCTTGACCTTGTTGCCTCCCTCGTTATAGGGGGCACCTGTGACTACATCAGGGCTCATCTATCTAATTCAAGATAATGTCTCCATCTCAAGATCCATAATCTAATTACCCACATTTTCTTTTGCCACAAAAGTAACAGTCACAGATTTTAGTGATTAGGACGTGGATACTCGATGGTGGTACATGCATTACCCAGCCCCTTAGAGCTGCTGGATACGTCCCATCTTTCATTCCTGATTTTGGTAATTTGTGTCATCTCTTTTTTTTTTTCCTGGCAAATCTTGTTAAAGATTTGTCAATTTAGTTGATCTTTTCAAAGGACTAACCTTTCATTTTATTGAATTTCTTCTTTATTTTTCTGTTTTCTATTTTATTAATAACTTTGTTGATGCATATTTTACACGTCATATTAATCACAAGTTTCAAGTGTACAATTCAATGAGTTTTAGTAAATTTACCAAGTTGTGTAATTATGATGGTTAATTCTATGTGTCAACTGGACTGGGCTACAGCGTGCCCAGTCATTTTATCAAAGATTATTCTAGGTGAGTCTAAGAGCATGTTTCTTTTTTTTTTTTCTTTTAATTTCATTATATTATGGAGGTACAAATATTGTTAGGGTTACATGTATTGCCCCTGCCATCCCTCCCCGCCCCCACCGCGCCAGAGCTTCAAGCAAGAGCGTGTTTCTTGATACCAACATTAGAATCAGTAGACTGAGTAAAGCAGATTGCCATCCTAATGTGGGTGGGTTTCATCTAATCAATCGAAGGCCTGAATAGAAAAAAAAGGGGCTGAATAAGAGGAAACTTCTGCCTATCTGATTGTTTGAGCTAGAACATTGATCTTTTGCTTTTTTCCTTCCTTTGGACTCAAACTGAAACATTGTCTCTTTTGGGGTCTTGAGCCAACAAGCTTTCTTTCAGACTGGAACTTACAGCCTTGGCTCTGCTGGTTCTCAGGCCTCCAGACGTGGACTGGAACTGCCAGCAGCTCTCCAGCCAATTGTAGATCTTGGGACTTCACAGTCTCCATCATCACATGCGCTAATTCCTTAAGATAGATCAATAAATAACCCCCCTTCCTATCTCTCTCTCTATGTGCCTCCCTTACAGCTCTGTTTCTCTGGAGAACGCTAATATAGTAATCATTACCATAAATCAGTTTTAGAACATTCTCATCACCCCAAAAATGTCCCTAATGCACCTTTACTATTCATCCCCACAAACCTGCTCCTTTTTGCCCTAGGTAATCACTAATCTATTGTCTATCTCTATACAGTTGCTTAGTCTGGACATTTCATATACATAAAATCATATTTCACTCTGATCTTTCGTATTTCCTTCCTTTTGCTTGTTTTGCATAGTTTGCTCTTTGTTTTCTAGTTTGTTAAGGCAGAAGCTTAGGTTACTGGTTTAAGATATTTCTTCTTTTCTGATACAGGCTCTGAAAGCAATAAATTGCACCCTACTTTTTTGCATCTCATAGATTTTGATGCTTTGTTTAATTTTCACTGAGTTCAAAATATTTTCTTTTTTTTATTTTTGAGACAGAGTCTTACTTTGTTGCCCAGGCTAGAGTGAGTGCCGTGGTGTCAGCCTAGCTCACAGCAACCTCAATCTCCTGGACTCAAGCGATCCTGCTGCCTCAGCCTCCCGAGTAGCTGCAACTACAGGCATGCATCACCATGCCTGGCTAATTTTTTCTATATATATTAGTCGGCCAATTAATTTCTTTCTATTTATAGTACAGACGGGGTCTCATTCTTGCTCAGGCTGGTTTCGAATTCCTGACCTCGAGTAATCCGCCCACCTCGGCCTCTCAGAGTGCTAGGATTACAGGCGTGAGCCACCTGGCCTGGCCCAAAATATTTTCGAATATCTATTTTCTTTGACCTACAGTTCTTTTAGAAATATATTATTTAATCCAAGTTGTGTGGGATTTTCCAAACTTTTTTCTACTCTTGATTTCTAATTTAATGTATTATGATTGGAGAACATACTCCGCATGATCTAAAGCATTTTAAATGTATGAGCATTCATTTTATGACCCACCATAGTGTCTACCCTGGATAATGTTCCATGCACACTTGAAAAAATATGTATTCTGATGTCATTAGGTGGCGTGTGTTATATGGGGGCTGTTCAGAAAGTATCCAGCCATGTAATCATTCTCGTTAATTAACAATGGCTGGATACTTTCCAGACAGCCCTCGTATATCCCAGTTACAACTTGGTAGATGCAGTTGTCCAAGTCTTCTATATTTTTACTATTTTATATATAGTGTTAAGTCAGTTACTGGGAGAGGATTATTTTAATCCTTAACTATGTTAAATTATTTATTTTTCCTTTAAATTTTGTCAGGTTTTGCTTCACATTTGGGAAACTCTTTTGTTAAAGGTATATATAACACATCCGATGAAGGGCTGATAACTAGAATCTATTTAGAACTCAGGAAAACCAGCAAGGAAAAATCAAACAACCCTATCAAAAAATGGGCAAAGGACATGAACAGAAACTTCTCAAAAGAAGACAGAAGAATGGCCATCAAACATATGAAAAAATGCTCAACATCATTAATCATCAGAGAAATGCAAATCAAAACCACAATGAGATATCACTTATCTCCAGTAAGAATGGCCCTTATTAACAAGTCCCAAAACAATAAATGCTGGCGTGGATGGGGAGAGATAGGAACACTCCTACACTGCTGGTGGGACTGCAAACTAGTTCAACCTCTGTGGAAAGCAATATGGAGATACCTTAAAGCCATACAAGTGGATCTACCATTTGATCCAGCAATCCCATTACTGGGCATCTACCCAGAAGAACAAAAGACACTCTACAAAAAAGACATCTGCACGCGAATGTTTATAGCAGCACAATTCACAATTGCAAAGATGTGGAAACAACCAAACTGCCCATCAGTACATGAGTGGATTAATAAAATGTGGTATATGTATACCATGGAGTACTATTCAGCTATAAAAAACAATGATGATATAGCACCTCTTGTATTTTCCTGGATAGAGCTGGAACCCATTCTATTAAGTGAAGTATCCCAAGAATGGAAAAATAAGCACCACATGTACTCACCAGCAAATTGGTTTTAACGGATTAACACCTAAGTGGACATATAGGAATAACATTTATGGGTGTTGGGCAGGTGGGGGGGAGGGGATGGGTATATACATACATAATGAATGCGATGTTCACCAACTGGGGGATAGACACGAGTGAAGCTCTGACCCGAGGGGGAAAGGGGGCAAGGGCAATATATGTATGTAACCTTAACATTTGTACCTCCACAATATGCTGGAAAAAATAAATTAAAAAAAAAAGGTATATATAATTATTCTGTCTCCTTGGTACCTTGACCCTTTTATCATTATAAAATGTTCCTTGTTGTCTCTAATAATGCTTTTTTAAAAAATACATTTTGTCTGAGAGTTACCTTGAGTTTTATGGTTACTGTTTGCATGGTGTGTCTTTTTTCTGTTGTTTTACCCTGACACTGTGTTTTTAAATCTATAGTGTGTCTCTTGTAGACAGCATATAGTTGGATCTGTTGGATCTGTTTTTTTTTTAATGCAGTCTGATAATCTCTGCTTTTTGATTGGATTGTTTAAGCCAATCACATTTAATGCAATTATTGCTGTAATTGAAATTATGTCCTCCATTTTTCTCTTTGTTTTCTATATGGTTTGGATCTTTCTTTTGCTTCCTTACTGCCTTCTTTTGTGTTAAATTGATATTTTCTAGTGTATCATTTATTTACTTTTTGTTGTATTATTTGAATTATTTTCTTAGTGAATATGTATATTATGTAATATACTTTGTAATATGTGTATTCCCTTATTATAATATACTCTAGAGTTATATCATGTCCATTCCATAAAATAAGGAAACTTTGCTCCAATATAATTTTTTGTGCTATTGTCACATATGTGACATCTTTATGTAAACCTAACAATATAGTTTTATAATTATAGCTTTATGCAATCTTATATCTTTTAAATTGATAAGAGAAAAAAGAGAAAGATATTTAGTCTTTCACACTTACCAACATATTTTTCCAGTGCATTTTATTTTATTTTATTTTATTTTATTTATTTTTGAGACAGAGTCTCACTCTGTCACCCAGGCCAGAGTGCAGTGGCATAATCAGAGCTCACTGCAACCTCCAACTCCTGGGCTCAAGCAGTCCTCCTGCCTCAGCCTCCCAAGTAGCTGGGACTACAGGCACATGCCCCTGTGCCCAGCTAATTTTTCTATTTTTAGTAGAGACAGAGTCTCGCTCTTGCTCAGGCTGCTCTCGAACTCCTGAGCTCAAGTGATCCTTCCATCTCGGCCTCCCAGAGAGCTAGGATTACAGGTGTGAGCCACCGCGCCTGGCCAGATTTTTATGTATGGACTTGAGTTACTGTAAGGCTTTTCTTCTTTGCCTTATTCATTTAGGATTTTTGAGCATAATTCCTCATTATCAAGGTCCACTATGGGAGCTTATCAAGGTCTACTATGGCTGTCTCAGCCCCTTGCTCTCCTGGTTAAGTTTCTGATGGTCAGCTTGTCCCTACAGAGCCACAGCCTCCGCTCACTGCAGTGCTGTTCCTTCTCTTTCCTTGCCGCTGGGCTCACCACTGTTTCCAACAACATCCAGGGCATAGGGTTTGGCACGCTCAACTCCGAGGCAAGTTGTCACTCCCAGCAGTAAAGCTGATGATCTTCACGCCTTGACAGACATACTGCACTGACAGCTGCCAGGTCCGGAAAGAGCCACCCCAGGCAGAAGTGCCACAAATTCTGACCATTCTTACCTGAGGCCCAGTAGTTTCCTCGAATAAATACTTCTCAATCTGTTACATGCTTTTGGTTGATTCCTAAAATCTTGAAATGGTGATTTTCAATAATTTTTTTCCACCTCCTTGGGGAAAGGGTTTGGCAAGCTCCTCACTGCAGCACTGTGGAAGTTCTGGGCCCAGCAATCAGTGTTTTCACAAGCCCTTCATGATTTTCCGATATGCATTAAAGTTTGAGAACTGGTGCTTCTACTTAAAACTAGTTTTACCACTTGTGCAAAAGATCTCACCCCTCTCACAGGCTCTGGAATATAAGTCTCTCTGCTCTTCCTGGGCCTTGCTCCCATCTGAGGGCCACTTCCCTGGCTTCTCCATCTGTCATGCTCTTCCAGCCACTCACAGCTCACTTGTCCTCCTCCTTTAAGGTCTCAAATTTCATCCTTTTAATATGCTCTTCCCTTATTACCTTGTCTAAAATTGTAATTCTTATTTATTATTGCTTATTTATTATGCTTATTATTTTTGTTTGTCTCTCCCCACTTGAATGTATGCTCCAAAAGGCAGCAATCTTTGTCAGTTTTGTTCACTGATATATCCCAGATGCCAAAAACCATGTCTCGGATACAGAAAATACTTGTTGAATGAGTGAGTATAGTAACTAAAAATGAGCCATGAGAAGAAATATTGGGTTACTTTATTTTATGGGATGCAATTATTTCTCCAAGTAGCAGATATTGTTTCATCAAAATGTTGAGGTCACACTGTTGTTGGGCTTCTTGGCTAAACAGTGGCAAAGTTGGGGGATAGGCAGAAAAGGGGTGACAAGTTATTTTCAGGTATGCCTTATCCCTATAATGTTCAGGTATATCACTGTTTTGATTTTTCATGCTCTTAGGGACTGGCAACAGCAGAGTTTCTTCTTTTGTTATCTGCTTAATATCTGCTTGTAGCCCCTTTGCCTGAAGGCTCTGATGATCCTACCACTAAGCCTTTTCTATTGTCACTGCCAGGAAAGGGACCTGTCATTCTGGCTAAAAAGGCCAGGACATGTTAGAGCAGGATTTGCTTTGTTCTGCTGCACCAGCTTCCAGCTTGTGAAAATTATGCCATGATTAACTGCCACGATATCTGAGTGGGCAGAAGCTGAGTGAATGTGCGGTGCCCCATGCCTGGCATGAGGTCACACAGCAGTCAGCATGCTCTGTCAGTCCACCCCTGCTACTGCTTCTGGAAAACTTGGATATTAAATATCCATCACTTTATAAGCTATTGATTTGAATATATTTTTTCTTGAAATGCAAATGGACTGTTTAGTTTTTTCACTTGCTCAACTCTGAAACTACCAACAATGAATAAAGTGACTGATATAAAACAAAGGACAGACCAAAGAAAGGGGTTTTTTTCTAAATTTTTATTTCAAAATAAATATAGGCTCACAAGAAGTTGCAAAAACAGTACAGAAAAGTCCTGTGTACACTTCTCCATCGTCCCCCAAAGCTGACAACTTGCATAACTAGAGTCTATTATCAAAACCAAGAAACTGACATGGGCGCAGTACAATCTCAGGCTGGTTTTTACACGTGCTCATCTAAAGAAAAGTGCTTCTACTTAAAATAGTCAAATTCTAGAAACTGCTTACTTTAATTTTTATGCTTTAGTTTTTGTGATATCCGTGATTTCACTAAGAGATAGGAGAGGATGAAATGAAACCATACCATATTCATGTAGAAATAAGGTGTATTCATTTTCTGTTGCTATCAGAGCAAACTACCACAAACTTGGTATCTTAAAACAAGAGGAATTTATTCACAGTTAGGAGGCTAGAAATTCAAACTCAGTTTCCATGGGCTGAAATCAAGGTTTCAGCAGGGCCACGCACCCCTGGGGAGATTGTGCCTCCTGTGGTGCTGCCAGAGCTCCTGCCCTTGTGGCCACATCGCTCCCAGCCCTGCCTGCACCGTGCGGGGGTCTTCTCTCCCGTGGGTTGTCTTCTCTCCTGCCCTCTGCTGTGCCAGGATGCTTGTGACGGTGCTGCGGGCTCCCCCAGACAACCTGGGGCAATCTCCTGTGGTCACGATTCTTAACTGCATCTTCTGTACAAGGTAGCATTCCCAGGGTCCGGGGATGGGGACAGGATGTCTATGGTGGCCATCATTCAGCAAAGTAGATAAGGTTAACTCAGCAACCAAATGAGGAAAGACTGCCATTTCTGCAGCTGGGAGGTGTGTCACCAGAATTTGGTTTCCATTTAGTTTAAACAGAAAGGTTTTCTAATTCCTTCTAAAGAACTGAAAGCTCTGGGCTGCTCTTTAGTTAGCACTGTGTTAATCTGTTGTGACTTCAAAATCCAGAAATGGCTAAGATTTTTCCCAATTTAATCTCAATTTACATGTTTTGCTAATGGGTTTGAGAGACATAGTAGAATTAACTATCTTTTTTTGATGATTAATTGAATCGTTATTTTTTAAAATTCTACTAAATATTTATTTTTTTTATTTATTCAGGATATTATGGGGGTACAAACATTTTGGTTATGTATAATGCTGTTTGCCCCACCCAAGCCAGGACTTCCCCAATACAGTGCATTCCACTCCATTAATTGTGAATTTTCCACCCTTACTCCACCCCAACGGACACCCAGTGAATATTACTACCAATGTGCG